GTTTTGTTTTTGAAGGGGGGAGGGATTTCACACGATCTGAATTTTTAGTCTTTCAACTTTCAGAAGACAGCAAGCAAAGGCTTTCTCCTACTGCTCTCAAAGAGGGGTTTTAATTTGTTTTTGTTTTTCTAGGGGGGGTTGGGGTGTCCTTTGTTGTTTTTGTTGTTGTTGTTGTTGTTTCAGTTTAAGATAATAAATTATTGAATAAAAATAAAACGCGAACTAAACAAAAGACTAATGAAGAAAATCACATGACAATGTCATGTGACTGTGTCATATGACATTCGACATTCATCAACACTTACAGCAAATATGGCTACGGCAGCTGGTGATTTTTGTATGTTCTTAGTTTTATTGTTAACTTGTGTCCATGTGTCGCAAGCTATAAGCAGAAAAGTAAGTATTCTATTCTATTCGGAAGGACTTCTGTAACGAACGACCACCCCAACAAATACAATAAATAAGAGACCTAACCCTATCCCTACCCTTGCCCCTACCCCCACCCCAACAAGCCTATAGAAGTACTGACTGGGCCTCTGCCTCTAGATGCCTCTATTCCCACTCCAAACCCTAACCCTCTATCCTACTGTTTCGTAGTGGTTGCTCGTTAGGGAATTCCTCCGTTCTATTTATTCATGCGAAGCCTTATTCATGACTACATAACCGGACAGTTGTTAGATTTCCAGTAATCAAAATTAGAACAAGTATAAGTTTTGACGCCAAGGCCAAGGCGAAAGCAAGAATAAGAAGGCCACCTCTATTCTCACCCGGAGTGAGAATATTGCAGGCGAGTCTTGTGGCTATTCTCACCCGATGCGCGTTCACCAAATTTTGCGTTCACCCTAAACCACAGTATTCTACACTGTGATAACAGAAAAATTGTAGAATTCTGTGCCGTGAACAAACGTTCCATTACAACTGTAGCCTATTAAAAGCATACAATTTTGTCTGTGGGCAGTGGAGAGAGAGAGAGGAGTAGCGCAATAGCGCGAGAATTTCTGGGCAAAACAAAATGGCGACCCGCGTAGTTCGGCTCGATTAGAAAAGTTAAATAGCCGTAGCATCTTTGTAGACAACCAAATTAATTTACTTTTGTGTTTTAACATCATTTTTTAACTTTGTTTTGGTCAATTTGATCGTCCACACCGATAGACAGTATTCAGAAAGAGAGAGAGAGAAGAGGGGAGGAGTTGATCTTGCGAGAACTTCCGGGCGGGTGAGAATAGCCACTTTCTTTTCCTAATTTCGGAATACAATACTGTCTATCGGTGTGGACCGTGGATGATCAAATTGATAAAAGCAAAGAAAAAAATTGCGTTATAGCCCAAAAGTAAGCAAATTTAATCGTCTACAAAGATGCTATGGCTATTTCACTTTTCAAATCGAGCTTAACTAAGTTTACTAAGCGGGTCGCCATTTTTTTTTCCCCGGAAGTTCTCGCAAGATCTACTCCTCCCCTCTTCTCTCTCTCTGTCTCTTTCAGAACACTGTCTATAGGTGTGGACGATCAAATTGATCATTCAAAACGAAGTTTAAAAATGGTGTTAAAACACAAAAGTAAATTAATTTGGTCATCTACAAAGATGCTACGGCTATTCAACTTTTCTAATCGAGCCGAACTACGCGGGTCGCCATTTTGTTTTGCCCGGAAGTTCTCGCGCTACTCCTCCCTCTCTCTCTCTTTCTCTCTCTCTCTCTCCACTGCCCACAGACAAAATTGCACACTTTTAGTGCTAACAGTAGTAATGGAACGTTTGTTCACGGCTCAGAATTCTATAATTCTGTTATCACAGTGTTGTTATTGTTGTTTGTTTGTTTGTTTAGTATAGGGTAAAGGGTTTTACGGCGCTCGCAACTGCATAAGGTCATATGAGCGCGCGGGACACACCTAATACTTTTTCGTTGGTAGGAAATTTTGAATTTTGCCCGGGTGGCGGCCGAAGCCTACTCTTATCGATTTTAGACCACCAAGGGATCTTTAACGTGCGCAACTTGCACACAGGACCTCCGAGATTTTTCGCCCTTGTCCGAGAAGGCTAGGTGTAGATCTTTCCTACCAGGAGATCAGGGGTGTGGCAGAAAGACAGCAGTTAGGAGGAGCCAAGGAGTAGCAGTAGAAAGGCTGCAGAAAGAGTCAGGAGCCCACAGGAGGGGGCAAAGGAGGTGA